TTCCGTTTTCAACAGAAAATTTGAAATAAAACCAATTTCTATTTTGCTTCATATTTCGCTTACCGCGAACAATCACTTCTGATATTGTTCTCCGTTTTTCGTGTCGGATTTGATGCACAATTCCACCGGCTAAGTTATAAAACAATTGGTTCATGCCTTTAGCTGTGCACTATCGAGTTATGGAGCACGTGGGAAGCTTCTTTCGTGCTCTCCAAACTTCCCACGTGCTCCATAACTTGATAGTGCACGCTAAAGCATGAACCAAATGTTAATTAGTCAGTCAGGCGGACGACCAGAGACTTGAGCCATTCCTGTATTTCACCGCTGACAGGAATAGCTCCGACTCATGCGTTCATTATTTTATTTTATTTTTTATTTCTCCCTTTTTTTTTTTGCCATTCGTTTTGGCTAAATAATTTATACACTGAGATAAAAACTGAAAGAGCGTTTTACTACGTTCTTCCTACATTGAACTCTACAATGCTTTCAAATGAAGCCCTCTTTCATTAATGCAGGGCCATGAACTTTTTCAGTAATATTTATTCTATGATCAGCGCGACCCCCCGGGCGTTTTTATCGAAACAATCATAAGAAAATCCCCATACAAGGGCCTGTGAGATGCGGAAGTAGAAAGAAAAAGACTGTGTGACAATCATATAATAAAATTCTTAATGTTTGAGTAAGGTCGGGAACAGATGTTTGAATGGTAGCTTCTTAAAGACAACCCTAGTCAGTTCCCACGCCCAGAAAATAGCTCCATGGATCCTGACTACTAGGAAGCATCTAGTGATACTGCATACCACGACAGCACCAACGAGATGAACTGGTCTACGAGACTGTCTAATAGAGGAACTGTAGGCGAGAATGGGGAAATTACCATAGAGAGGACGAAACGATCCCTTAAGGTGAAATTGCTCAGAATGAGTGATGACGTTGAAGTCTGTGAAGATGAACATGCGCTACAATGGTTAGAGAAAAGTGCCAATTCCTCTTATAGTTTGTTAACTTCGATGATGCAGCACAAGCGTACGACAAGTACACTGTCGGCTGATATACCTAAAGGGAGTGCACCTGAAACAAAAAATCGAGGTCCAGAAACGTTTCTTTTCCACCAAACGAAAGACACAGAAGAGAAATATCAGGTTGGAAAAACCAAGCAAGGAAGAGAGGATGGAGATGATTGAGAATTGATAGAGTGATGTGCAATCAGAGCAGAACAACAGCAAAGTATCTATAGACTTCACATCCAGCAAAACGATGGCGCACAAAGTATGTGGTGCTTCATTGTTTGAAATGTTTTTCTTCCTAGCCTATCACACCTGTCTCACCTCACCATCTGTTTATTTCTCTTGTAGGATTGCAAGAAATGCTTCACTGGTTTACTAAGGTGAAAAACATCACTCCAATGAAGACCTGGTAAAATCTGCCATTAAACTGTCTGTTTCTGACGTATTGGATAAAGACAGGGCATCTTTGATACCCGGATAGGCAGTAGAAGCTAACTTGGTAGATTTGAAGAGGTTTATTTCAGATGGTGCCTGGAAAGCAGTTTGCAAATTAGGTTAGGATGGCTCGTGTACTCTACAGAAAACGTGGTTTAAGTTGTACTTATTCTTTCTTAATTGGTTTGACTGGTTAGACGTTTTTTTTTCGTTTGTTTGTTTTATTTTTACCTTTTTTCAGGTCTAGTGGAGTTGTTAAAAATTATCAAGCAAATTAAATTAATCCGCGACTTTCTTCTTTTAGGTGTTGTGCAAAAATAGATGAGGAGCCCGATGAAAGGATTTGTCCTTCATGTGAACAATTATCCAGAAAGTCAGCGTTCCACAAAAAAAAAACTCCCTCGATTGCGGCCAAGCCACATTTCTCCAGCAGAGCATACTGTAAATTAAATATGTCGGTCACAGCTCAAATATCGGTCGCAGCCACGCAACATTACGTGATTTTCCAAACGTGACATGCAGATGCCGCATTATTTTAAAACTTAGAAACTACATGGCCCTGTATCAATAAAAGAGGGCTTCATTTACAAGTATTGTATAGTTCAACATAAGAAGAACCTAATAAAACGCTCTTTCGGTTTTATTAGTGTATCTCAGTGTGTCAATTATTTAGCCAAAACGAAAAAAAAAAGATAAAAAAAAGCACCATTCGGAGCCATTCCTATCAACGGTGTACTGTATAAATAGCTCCAGTCTCTGATCGCCCACCTAGACTAAATGAATTTAGTCAGCGCAGTTAGTCAGCAGATAACTTAGTCATCGCTGGAATATCGTTGGACGACCCTACTGAATGAGAAAGAAAGGCTCTGCCTTCCCTTCGTTATGTAATTAACCATTTCTTGTTTGGTACATCAGTGTTTTTACTTGCATCGTTATTTGATTGTTCCGCTTCGAGACACACGGTTAAACAATATTCATGAGCAGGGAGTTAAGATATAACTTATTAACTTTTACTATTTTTATCATCCAATTACAGGTCGGAGCCATTCCTGTATTTAGTCGTTTGTCGGACGATGAGAAGCTTTCGTGGTGCAAAATCAGCACAGACACTGTGTATAATACGCTCAAAACGCATACAAAATATGCACACATCGTTCGCGGTTGACCCACACTAAAAGATGTCGAGCGTTTTCGGAGCGGGTCGGTCCGCGAACCTTATAAGAGATCTCTTTGAGAGCAAACTTTTAAGAGTGAACCTTTCATAGAGAAACGTGCTGTATCAACTGAGCTATCTAATGTTAGTCGAGAGAAGCATAGACGCAAATCTCATCGTGTATGTAGACCTGATCGTGAACCAAGCAGAATACCAATACGAAGTTTGAAAAGGTTAAGGAGCGAGCAAAAAGGTTAGAAAATTTGTCTATGCACGTATTCTCTCATGTATCCCCATGACATTTACATTGTACTGTTATGTTAATGCTAAAAAAAAACTGTAATATAAAAGGACGTTTAGTTTAACTGTCGTGAAAGAATTCGTCAAAGTATAAGAAAGGTGAAATATTGTGCCAGTCGATATTTAACATCGTTTTCTTGTAACGAACTGATGTGTTCTTGCGAGAATGAGGCTCGTGTAGCAAATTATTTCAACTATAAATTAAGTAGAGACATGGAAAAAAATCTTGGCCCTTCAACATATGTTGACCTTAAAAAAAACAACAGGAGCTCCATATAGTCAAGGTAACGAGTTAGTGTTTGGACAGAATGCAGCGCAACAATGTGTTGCAAGGAGTTTGTGTTCTTTGATTTACAGTAACAAACAAGAGATCAGCTCAGCAAATGATCTTATACAAATAAGGGATATTGGAAGTCAGCTTTATTCAAGTTTGTCATGATTACCCGGGCAGGCATGTTTAATGCAGTCAGAATTACCAACAGCATTAAATGTGTTTGATACTGATTATCAACTGGAATACAGTGAAAGCTACTCTGGTACTGTTCACCAAGAAATTGCCATAGAGGGATATCAGTACTGTAGGTCTTTACGAAGAGCCTTTGAGTCGCTCATATCTGAAAGCTACACCAATTTCATATTAACAGTAGGGTGCATTACTGTTGCAACCTATTATAATAGTAATATGGGGTTCAAAATATTTGATTCTCATGCTAGGGATTTGTATTGTTCTTGTTGGATGACAATTTCTACTATTATGCCCTTAATTATTATTACAATCTTGCAGTATGTCTCTTTCCTCACTAAGTATATACAGAATGAAAAAACTTAGATAATTTCCATATGCAAATGAAAATGTGCAATTACTGTAATTAGTAGACTCTAAATTTTTTGTACATTATCAACTGCTACAAACTAAAAGGTCATTTTTCATTCAAGGGCAAATGAAAATAATTGTTTTGATTAGAGTGATTTCAATAGGCCTGGGTACTGCTGGTGAATTACATTAATGTTATTAGATGCTAGATGCTTTGTGACCTTTTGTTTCTTTACATATTTTAGATTGATATTCATTTTCCCATGAAATAAAGAAATGACCATTTAGTTTGTAGTAGTTGATAAAGAACAAAAGAAAACAAACAATTAACAGTACACTGCTAACTATTAATTACCCTATTCTTTCACAGAAAATGAAAAATACTCTAAACACAGTTAATTAGTATTGACCAGATTTAGTGAAACCACTCTAACCAATAAACCAAAATGTATTAACTAAAGTATACTGGCCCAGTAACTCCAAACAGAAATAAACAAATTGGAAGGTGATAGTACAAAATATGCTAAAAAAAATGTGTTTCACACATTCATGAGAACCACTCCAACAACCCCATAAAATTAATAGTTCATCTGGTAATAACCTTTGGTGGTGACTTTGTTTTCTTTGGGTTAAGAGTCATCACCTTAGCACTTGGGGCTGTTCTTAATTAAAGCTATCTCAGCCTGAAACTTTTGTCAACCAAAAAAAAGAAAACATAGGAAGACAGCCTGTTCGGCAAAAGACTTACCCTGCTACAACCCTTAACCCGCAAAACAAAATTTAAACAATTCAATACTAAAAAAAAAACAATTGAAATAGTGTCTTGTAATAAGTATTGAAATAATAGCCAATTATATATGGCACTACCTGCTCCCACCCCACCTAATAAAAGGGTCTTCACACCATATAAACAAATGCTGTTTTCAGCTCTCTATACATATGTGAGAAAACTGCATCTCTGGCATACCAAGAGAAAAACAGTTAAAGGAGAAATCAATAATTGCCTAACAAAAACTTAGGTAAATGCAGGCACAAAAAACAAAGTTTACTTCCAATAGAAAGCCCGGGTGAACGCAATATGCGTCTAGTTTAACATGCCTTGTTTGTGGGTTTTGATCAGTTCTTATTATTCAACAATCCCTTGATTAACGTTAAGTTCGTTTTCGTGTTTTTCTTTTCGCTTTTATCACTCGTTCTGTTCTTGAAATCTATTTCAGGTTGTAAAGTATTCTAGAATTTCCTTCCCACTATGTAGTTTTCACACACTATGCAATTTTTTTATTTTTGGCTACTACAGGTGTTTTGTTTTGTTATTGCGATTCTGTATCAGTACAAACAGCAGCAAAAAATCGAAAAAAATATCACGACATAAACAACCCAATACTTTACCTGATGGAGCTGTTGGTGCGTTGCAGTTCTGTTCGTCTGAGTTATCCCCACAATCGTCTGCCCCATCGCAAATCCAAAGCTTATTAACGCACACTCCATTAGCACAGGTCATCTGAGATGATTTACATGGACACTTCTCTTCATCGGAATGGTCCAAACAGTCAAGCGAGCCATCACATCGCCATGTCTTTCTTATGCAACTGCCGTCGCTGCACTGAAATTGATTGGGTAAGCAAGGTGTGGCAGTAGTTATCGTAGGGATTGCGGTGGAGGGAAGTGTCTTTGCATTTGTGGTGACGGGAGGTAGTGTCTGTTTGTGGTTCTTTGACAATGCTATTGAGAGAAGAAACTTGTTTAAGTGTATTGCAATTCAGTGCTCCACACGTACCATGGTTTTGAACCTCTCAAAACTTCCTTATGCTTTACCATCACTGTTATTCACGTTACATACTTTTATTACGTTGGTAAAATCTGTACAGACATCACACTAACTAACTCGTGCGCAAAGTAAGAGGACTATATTGAAGGCTTGAAATTTTATTACGATCGATTTTCATCAAGATATGGGCCACGAATTTTCCACAATAGTGCAAATAATCGTGAAGGCTGATAGCGGAAAAGCGATTGCGTGCCGCTCGGTAAGCTGTAAGATGACATGCTATTATATGCCAGACGTAAAAACTCTTCAGATTCTCAGTCTACATTTTGTACCCACTCTGCAGTCTGCAGTCTATATTTTGTATCCGGTCTGCAGTTTGCTGTCTGCTGTCGGCATTTTGTACTAACAGGTATCCGTGGCACAAATACAGTTTATTTTTGGTTACATTTATTCGCACAACACACATAATCTACCACAAAATACCTGTGTGTGAGGTAATTCGACATTTTCGTTCTTTTCCGCGTTAATACTCTTCTTTCCTTCGAAAGAAATTTCTTGCAATCACCGAGCACGTCCGTGCTGATGTGTTCGCACTACTTGATTTTCCAGAGGAAATTACGCGAACAAATAGGAACGCGCCAACAATTACGCAAACAAACCGGAATTCGTCACCGACTTCCTCTTTTGATCATGCCGTGGATTATTTATATGCGCCTTAAGAGAGGATGTCAGCATCCATCGAACAAATTTGAAATATTGTGGCAAGTCGCCCAGAATTCGTTTTCTCCCCTACTTTCGTATTTTGTAGCCCAATATGTCCTAATAATTGTGGTGTAGTTTTTTTGTGAAATATATTTTAGTTTTCGAGAAATGATTTTTTTCGTTCTACCGCTCAAATATGCAAATTTTGACCGTGAATATTACCCGAGTTGTGAGACCTCGTGTAACGAATTTATTTGACCTCCGGTATTTCCGTCAACATAATCCTTTGTTTTATCATCTAAAATTAATCCCCTGTCGTTATTGAAGCTGGCAAATAAAAATTTATTTTTTGATGAATATTTTTGTCCGACATACTTTTTCTATGTCGAAAAGTAGCATCAAAACAAAGACAGTTTTAACAATGACCGATAAGACAGAATCAACTGAGCTTCTAGCTTTTAAAAGACAAAAGGATGGTTATAAAGTTACTATAAAAATTTCCTTGCGTATTTGTGTCGTTCTAACGTGAGATGAACTCAAAGTCCGGCAAAATTTGCATATTTGAGCGGTCGAACGGAAAAAAACATGTATTATGAAAAAAATGGATCAGCGAAATTCCCGCATCAATGAAGTATTCCCTCCATAGGCAGAATTTCGAGTGGGATATTTCCGTTTGGTCTTCAACGCTCCTCATGGAGGTTACACGCAATGTTTGAGTTTTTGATAAAGTTAAACACACCATTTTTTTTAATCCGTCGGTCTGAAGAGATATATCGACGGTTTTTATCATTGCTACTGATAAGTGAAGAAGGTTCTATTCAAAGATAAAACAGAATGACTTTTGTTCAGATTTGATCATGGTTCAAGCGCTCGTAACTTACATTACTGTCGGATACTACTTACATGGACGAGAACTTTGCCCTTGTCTCCCCAAACAGAACACCACGATTGATACATGAAGCCTGTGAGATCGAATAGAAGAACAAAAACAATTTTAGACTTGTAACTCAGTCCAACTACGAAGAATAACCATCTACACTGTGAAGTTTTAGCAGATGTTGTGTTTTGGCAGATTTTGTTTTCATTACACGGATCATAGCGTTAGAGAACGTGTCATGTAACTTACAGGGAAAAAATGCCTTACCAAAAACTGAAAACGTAAATCCCTTGATTACCCCTCATATCTGAGTCTTTTTGGAGACAAAAGATTATAGAAGAACACGGGAAAAGGTTTAGAGAAAAACGATCATCAAACTCGAAATATCAAGGCTCTAATTCGCTTTTTGTGTGGCTTACACAACATGTGTAGCCACATTATGGC